CCTTCATCTTGTTTTTATAAATGACTAAGGAATATACGAATCTCGTAAAAGAGCACCACAGTTTAACACCGATCATTGTTTTGTACGGGGTTTTAAACAAAATTTGTGGAAAGTTACACAAGAGAACTTTTCAGAATTTTCGGAGTAAATTGTAAATGCATGTTACTCTAAGATTAATGTTCTGAATTTTAGGAGTATGCTAGAAGACTCAAGGTGGCATTTCTACAATGAAGACTCTCTTGATGACACTATCTCCAATATCACATGTAATCTCAAATTTTGTCTCGTCACCTGTTGTTCTAGAGAAACGCTCTTCATCAGATTTGACTGTTTCTCCTCTCCTCAACTTAAAAAGCTTCGCAGGCAAAACTAAATGTTATACCAAATTAAGGATATCATTGGTGTGAGAAGAATTAACATCATAATCAAGTCTGAAATGCACCGATTGATTTCAATTTATAACGAGAAGTTTATGTCCTGTAAAAATACCTCTAATATATGAACATGTTTCAGAGAAATTACTGGTGGTAAGCAGATGAATAGTATTCCACATTCATTTGATGTGTGTACACTAAACAAGTCCTTCATACATTCTCCCACAAATGCCACACCTTCTAGTGTTACAAGTGCCAAGGAAATCTGCTTCTCTTGGTTCATAAGTGTGAACATCATTTAAACCGTGTTATAATTGGTAATTTTGTATTTCCCCTCACCATACTGTATCAACAGAATATGACATTCAATACTCGATAACATGCTAAAATTTCCAAAATTAATCGACAATACTAGAGAAGATTTGTAGCTCAGGTGGATGATTTGCAATTAAAAGTGTTCTCTGAGCTGGTTGGTTTATATTCAGTATTCTCATTTCGTACTTCGAAAATATTTACTTCATTTCGTAAAAATGGACAAATTTCCATGCCTAATTTTGTTATAACTTTTAATTCTATTTGTATTTTGAGTAAATGAGAAACAATATTGTGACAAATACTGAGAATTCCATACTGTATTGTAACTACCGTTTTTGGAATAAAGCAGATTATTATTATCATTATCCTGTGTTAGATACATACAAAGAATCACATGAAAAATCTGTACAAAATACACAATTCGATAATTGCAACAAAGTCATTTCATGTGGAGTGGAATCAATTTGAGAATCAGATTGGACTACGATCTCTCAATATGTGTAATTGTGTCGGTAATAATCAATGAAATCGAAATATTTATGTGAAAATACATGTGAATGTTCTCAGAAGCAGCGAATCTCGAAACTAGTAGCTACAACCAGTAAGTAGATTTCAGCTACATCTCACTTCTTAGTTGCTCACTTAAGGAGGAGTACTCATGTGATTATTTTTTTATTCTGACTTTGATCATATCCAGTGTACTTTTCGTTACTCGATAGACGCATATCAAAATGAATATTTTAGTTCATTAGTTAATGAAATTAGTTATTTTGAAAATTGCTCATTTGTGGTTTCACGTAGAGTCACACACAACTAAACATTTCGATGCGATAATATGCTGCTAATCATATTCCATAAAACAGTGTGGAGGTGGAGATTGAAACCTGACTGTTTATTCAACTAATCAGCTGAGAGTTGGCTCAATACGATTGACTCGACACCTACCCAAGACATCTGGAGAATTCTATTAACCAACCTAACAAGAAATCGGGTAGAAGACAGTGGGAATATACAAATGGAGTTTCGAAGTCGTTTGGTTAAAAGTGACATGCCGAAACGACTTTCAGTCGATGAAACTATTTCACTTTGTGATACATCTAAAGATCAAACTACCGTGAGATGACTAACTCGAATAACTAAAATATGCCAGTTGACAGCAAAAGTTCTGAACAAGTTCACAAGCGGATTGCATATTAGGGAGGAGGGGATCATTCCATATGATTTCATGTGATACAAGCACATTCGAACATTTTAACTTGTCCGACATAGTAGAAGTCTGATCCCACTGATATCATCCTTATATCTCTGCAATATCCTGTCTGCAGCAAGAAGAATTCACATAGACACATCGCGAACATCTTCATTGGCCTGATTCATTCATTGTCAAACACAACATTTGTCGTCTGTGGTGTCGCACACATACACACACACGAGACTACTCATATCATTTGTATTACTTCATTGAGTTTGAAAGCCTACAAAATATCACTAATGAATTATTATTCGTATGCCCAACTGATTGGTGAAGCTTTCAAGCATATGCATTCAGGTGATACATTAGTGCTCCACTGAAACCTTCCACAGCTATGTATCTATCTTTCAAAATTGTATGAAAGTGTGAGTCTCTGAACAGACCAGATATCTCTGACAACGTAGATCCATTGAGGCACTCACTTATGCTTGTGGTATGCTAGGCTGAAAATTGGATGACCGCTCTCACATTCAATCTTAATCACTGACAAGATATTTGTCGTATTCAGAAAGGGTAAATCGTCTTTTGACCACTGTATTACTACACTTCTTCTTCTCCACATTCTCAGAAATGTTGAAGTGTACAGTCAGTTTGAAAACAGAGATATATATGTATAAATGTACTTTTGATGGTGTTGATGTTTACAGGTATATTTTGTCTGTTTTTCTTACTACAGAATATGAATATCAGTGTGAACGTCTGTGCAAGCAGTAACACACATCAAATGAGCAAAAGAAACAATGATTAACATATCGTCATGACGAGGAACAAGAAATCACAAAAATCAAAATTAAATTAAGATGCCTACAGAGTGACATTTCCCTATTCAACTGCCTGCTTGAAAGAAGTATTTTACAAATCAGACTGGTGATTTGTCTCATTGAAGAAATATGCTAAATTAAATTCGAGTACGACGAACAAGGTGATCGTACAAAGCCAGATGATGAACGCTGTGGTAAATTCTAGGGCATTGCAATCAATCCACCAAGTGATGTCTTCGTCAGTATTGACATAGGTGAACAATAACTACAATGTAGAGAAAGAGAAAGACTATTGACAGAGATGAGTGAATACAGGCGATCATCTCAAATGTACAGCAATTCAAATTAATTATAATAATCTAGCCAATGTGATAGGAATGTTTTCATATGATGAAATATAGACACCTGAATCAATAAAGAATTCTCTACACATTCACTGTCGGCTTTCAGATCAAACATGAGCAAATGTTTGCTTGTTTTCAATATTGTAGTGAGAATTCAGTTCACACCTTAAAGAAGATTATGGATTCAGAATGATGGGTCAAGTGTGTCATTATTCATTTTACGATTTGTCAGTCTCACATGCACAGTGAAGTTGTTGGAAATCCCTAAATGTAAGTGCGTGAGGCTGGTGAGGGAATATGAAATCATTGACAAATATCATCCAATGTAAATAATACAAGCTGTTAAACAATCCAGCCATTTCATAAGCACACACAACACGAATTCATATACGACAATCACAAGGAGCGAGTTATCGTATTACTAACGACTCGCATAAATTCGAATCGTGATTACTACACTCCAGTGATTTAGAAATCTGTCAAGTGCAACAGTGTACAAAATCATCTACTGTGGAAATACGCTCTCAAATACCGTGGATAGGTTCACGTGCCTCAGGATATAATATGAACACAAATCGACTAAGCGATACTGTGATTCGCAGTGGAATTCTGCGACTATCAAATAACTGATGTAATTCGTGCAATTTACTCGCCAAAATAATTATGGTTGATACAGCGATAAAATGACAAACTTACGAAGAGTATGAATAACGCAAAGAAAAATACCACCAGAGCTAAAATTATCTGCGAGGAAAATACGAGGAGAAATGAATAAATCATGAGGGAAGAGGTACACTCACATGCTTTATTAATGTATGCAAATTACAACATTGACATATCTACTGATCTGAGATCTGTGGACACTGACTATTATCGAAACATGCTGACAGTTGAATCACACCTGTCAGTGACACTGCCTCTATGTAGTGTGGCTGAAATATGCGAATGTATATCATTCACTCAATATATATAACAACTGCATCCCTTCACATTTCTTATCTGACAACAGAAATGTCATTATTCACTGAGCCACTTCGACTACAGTCGCATCTCTATTAGTCCAATATATATTCCGTGGAATATGACAGTCACACCAGTGAATTGTTGCCAAACGAGCCAAATTCCATACGTATGCGTGATAAAGAGATTGACTATAGACAAAGTTAGCTACTATTGTACCAAATTGCTCTTAGCTCTTCCATTCAAAATATAGAGTTCGAAGAGACAGCATGAACGACAAGTGTAACAGAATGAAATGATGTCAATCTTTATCATTTCACGCCTTACACTCAGCTGGCTGAAACCAGATCCATCCAAAAATGTGGAGTACACGTAATATGCCATGTAGGTTTGAGGTGATGATAAGCAGTTTTGTTATTTTCTCAGAAGGATGTAAGCTGTCGAATATGCGCAACAGTTAAGGGTGTTGACTATTCATAGGATTGCCAGTGGAATATTCTTGAAAAGAAATTCGCTATAAGCTGTTTCGAATGAAAACAATATTTGACATGCATGAAATTGAAGATGCAATCGGTTACCTAACTAGTGGGCAGGATAGTCGAAGATCTACCACTGTCTCTTTCTGCTCACATAGTTTTGATTTGAATCGTTTAATAGAGACTGCCTGAGGAAATCGGAGCAATGCAGGTTTCCGCTGACAGGCTTCTCTTAATACTCTCTCAATATAAGTTTCATCATTCGAGAAATTCGTCACTGATACTCCTATCAATTGTTCCTTGTCACCGCCCTAGGAGTATGTTGAAATCTTCAATGTGATTTATACTTACGTACTGTTGAGGCTGTGGTCAACTGAGAGGAGACTGTTAAATGGTGACAGCAAAGTTAGTCTTAGTGTGAACAGTGTTCAAATAATGCACAGATGTTTCAGTGGAAAGCATCGCATAATAGTTTTCACTTGTCCAGGATCTTTATACACACTAACAAGTGACAGTAGATCGTGCGACACATAGCTGTCTGGCTTAAAGCGCAAACCAATTCCTTATCAAATCTCCTACTCGTTGCATTCACGAAATGATGTCATCTCATCGTATAATATTTGTCGTTCCTGCTTCGCTCTTCCTCACAGGAGGAATCAAATGAGATTCCAAAGTGTGGAATCAATACTAGGATTCGGATGCAGTGGGATATTTCTGAATGAAACGCAGATGTAATAAGTTTCGACAAATAACTTAGGCAAATAATTCATGCAATAAAAGTAATAATTCACACATTTACATCTTGCTTGGAGAACACATAGAAAACGCTCAAGACGAGTACCACTATCGCTAACGTCAATGTAACCATGTCAAACACTATCACCCCCAACGGATTCAGTCGACGCATGAGCATAGCCAACGCAACTATTGGAATTTCCACCACAAGTATACAGGCCAGAGATATGAGTCCAGCTTTCAGTCCAACAGGTGACAAAAAAGCAGCGAATCCAACAGACCACAGCACAATCTATGACAATGGAGAAAGCGAAATGAGAACATGTGATCACACTGGATAGATTGATATACATATATAAACACATATATTTACAATGAATACTGAAAATACAGTGAATGCTCAATCCTGCATTAAGAAACAGATAAGCCACATTCTCATCACTCACAATCAATCTCAAATAAACAATTCTCTGGAAGTCACTGTCATCCTGTGAACTGTTGATCATCCTAAACATGTCGACAAGAGTTAACTCTGCAAACTGCAGTTAGCTGCACTGGCCGACTAATTAACGCCCGACAAATGGAATGACTATACCTACAACAGTTGAAAATAATTAGACCGCATTATCCATCGTTGAGGATGAATACGATGAATTCTAATGAAGTTCTTTCTTGTCAAATAGAATCAGAGTCTGAATTTCGCAGCTGCTATTCCCTATCCCTCTCTTGGGTGGGACAGGTCAACTGGAGAGTCACCAGAGATGTCCAAAACATGTCCATCAACGTGTTAATATCACTTCAGTTCAGAAAACGCTTCATCTGATTTCTCACGAAGCTGTTTATTCATTAAACTGTTTGAATGAATTAGACTGTCGATTGTCTTATCCCAGGTCATGTAGAGTTAACTTTTCGAGAACTCCAGTTTATTCATATCTTCAAACTGTCTCTCAATAAACACTTCCTGCTGAAGCAACAGGTGGATTTACGTTTCTAAGATACAACTTTTCTCAGCTTTCAGGTCCTTTCTCATGCGCAAGTAGTGAAACCACGCAATCATTGTCACATCGCCAATAAGTGAAATAATGAAAGTGGTGTGTAATGTGAATCACAGGGATGATCACTTTGACAAGGTAGTAGTGGGTGAAGACACTTTCAAATTGCACCACAAACGACATTCCTTAAGTTAAAAACAAGTTAGTCTAAATCCCCACAATTTTTTGCAGGGTTACAAAAATGACACTTACTACAATTGAAAACACGACATAGACACCAATTGGTCGTGATCGAATTTTCGACACGAATACGAAGAGAAGTAACACAAGGAGACCGACTCCTCTGAAATGAATTCACAAACATCAACAATTCGTCACAGATATTTGCATAGTTAATCGGAATTGTGCGTTATTTTGGTTAGTGCATCACAGTTCATAATAATCGAATATTCATGAGTTGCATTTTCAATAGAAATGATTTTAAGTTTGATTATCTCGGTATATCGATGCCATTCTTCGGTTGTGACGTCAAGTTTCCATTTGTCACAGGCTTCATTCGCCCGGTGCTTCATGAAATCACTCGTTCATTTTCACTGTCGGCGGAAATCTCTGATTTGATGATATAGTAAATCTCACCGCTTTCTGAGCAACGGAAAACATAAATGCTACGGTACTTGGCTCAATCTCTTTCCTGAGTCGACAAATGAGTGTGAACAACTCGTCGCATGTGGTTCACAAATGACATGGGAAAATGAAAGCAAGTCAGAGGAGACTGCTGTATTTGAAACTTTCCCGTTCTCATGGGCCCTAGATATGAGGATAATTTAACTTAAGATTAGACAAAGTGACTTTAGGTGGGGATGTTGTCGAATCGAAAATATTTTATGATCAGTAGAAGGGAAGTTGTTCTTATGAGGAAGCAGTAACACAAATGACGAAATTGCAACTGAATTGTTTAGTATTCTGTACAAACTATGATGAATATTTGACTGGATATTAGTCGCCGAAAACAAAACAGAACTCAGATAAATTATTTCAACCTCATCAGGAAGAGAAAATATTCACCGAAAACCGTAGCACTCAACTCTGCGAAATAGACGACAAGACAGAGTAAAGGGCCAGTTTGCATACATTAAAAGCTGAAACAAGCTAAATATTCCAGTTCATAAACGAGGAAATCGAAATGTCACTGCAGAGATAACCTGCACCAAAATGTTTCCATCAGTGTAGATTTTATGAATTTGAAAATATTTACTAACCAGATGTTCTATAACGTCTAACTGTATAACCTACTAACTGTCTAACACACAACTTCTCAACATACACTCCTTGAATACCGAATGTATATGAAATGCAAGCCGTATATTGAGTACAGAATATGTATGAATCTGACAGCAGAACTGCATCAATTTTTGTTGAATGAGATGAAATATTTCCAAGTCTTCGCCATTCACCATTTTCAGACAGTGGACTGTGCAGTCGATATCTTTCAGGCACAGGAGAAATTATGAATTCACTAGAAGCGTGTTCAGATCAAACAGTGTTCAAATATAGAGGATATATCCACACGTGAAACAGATAGTATTGTTATGGAACAAACAGTATTGCCATCACTGACCAATCTGTGCATCCACTCATTCAAAACAGGTGCAATTGTGAGATGCTCTGATCGTCTGAGATACGTAGATAACACATTTGGACATCATTAAATGTAGAGTCCTTGATGAAAATCTTCGCCTGATGAACAACATACCCAATAGTGTTGAGCTCTGCAAATATGTTGAAGACTATTCGCATAATTTGATGTATTTTAACTGGTTTGTCGGGCGACAACCAGATGATAGACGGAAACTTAATATCATCAGAAAGCGAAGACATTCAGACAGATGACCTTATTTTCTTTGTCATTATTATTCGGCGAATCTATTTATCACCAAAAAGACTGAAGTTAAGACCCGAATTAACTCGGCTGAACAACTATTAACTGGAGTCGAAGTAAGCCACAGAAGGTTGAAATTGGTTGTAAACTGACTAAGGTTGATCCACTGTCCAGTCCTAAGTAGTCCGACGAATGCGGAAAGTGTAAACAAACAACTCAGGCCTCATCCATGGTTGTTTATAAATAAACTTGGTCCTGTGTGACTAGTTCTACTGACCGTCAAATAAAATACAAAACTTCCCAGTGCATGTCTGAACATAATCAGACATGGTTATCAAGATGAGACAACGATTCACTAAGATCAAAGCAAATGATTAAATATATAGACACTGAGAAGACATTTATTGCGTACACTATTTCTGGAAAGCGTTTCACAGAATATTAGTAACACAGATGTCTTCAGTAGTCATGGACATCACAATAATCAATACCATGTGTCAAGAATCCTACCGAAGTTTCGTCATGAATATTATTCACACGGTGGCATGATGCAAACCACTTTTCAAGATTTTATTCGATAACATCGCTAAAACTTCTGATCAGCTAATATCTCAAAGTAAGAGGAAGTCATTTTTGTGGAAATAATAATTGACAAATAATTCCCACACCTCACTCGACAGATTGGAAATAGTGGAAGATGCAACATCTAAACTATAAATAAAAGGGTGCATCTGGACCCTAATATCGCTGACAAAATCAGTACAAGCAGTTCCATGAAGGGTCTCTATTCGAAGAAATTCACTTTCTTAAGCTGCACAATAGAATTCAGCAAGGTTCTGAACAGTGACAAAGGGAAGAATCAAAAAACACATCCACAGTTGCCATTTGTGTTCAATGGAAATGAGAAGTTGAATATAGTAGGTAGAATTATACAATAATAACAAGTCTATATTTCAGACAATATGCGAAAACAGGCTGCTAGAAACGAACCCATGTGAGATCTCATTGAAATCCCATATTTTTGTCTGTGAAAGATGTCGTTGGCCGTGAATGGAACATAGTATTTCTTTGTTTCCATGTTCATGCATATCAAAATTTACATAGTAACTTTTCTTATCTCACTTGGTATTTCTGTCGACCTTATTCGACCACTTATATGCACTCATTAATATAACCAGCCATCTTGTGACGATTCTTCCATTTGTTAATGTTCAAGTTTAGTCGTTCCCTGTTGGTAACCTACTGATGGATCTTTCTTAATGCGACTGTTCAAGCAAAGAAAAGGAATTCATGGAAAAGAGACTCTTCACTGAACTGCTTGTGTTGATTTTGTCAACGAAATTAGGGCACAAATGCACACTGTGATTTATACCTGAGACGATTTACCTTCCATCATTTCCAATCTGTCGAGCGAGAGGTTTGAATTGTGTATCAATAATTATTTTTACAAATATGACTTTAACTTACGTTGAAATATGAGCTGATCAGAAGATTTAGCGAAATTATCGAATAAAATCTTGACAAGTGGTTTGCATCATGTCACCATATGAATAATTTTCATGCCGAAATTTTAGTGTGATTCTTATTGTACGACATTAATTATTCTGATGTCCACTATTGCTGGAGACATCCGTGTTGCAGATATTCTGCGATCGTGATTCTACAAATACTCTACTCGAGAAAATTCATTCCAGTGATTATCTTATGAACCAACTGTTTTGATATTCTTGAAGCAAAATGTGAAATCAATAGTATGAATAGAGATGAACACCAGACTCTCCGAAAACTTAAGGCATAATATAAATTAAGACTCTTAATTCTTGACAATACAGCAAATACTAATTTAGTTCTCGAGTTTGCTGTGAAGTGGATTACTGCTCTGTATCACAAATGAATTCCACTTGTCAAGGTGTGATGAATTCAATCGAACATTTGATAAATAATGTTGAACAGAGAACTTACATAATAATAAAATATACCCAAGAATTCTCTTTGAAGAATTTCCAAATCACCTCCCTACAACCAAGGGAATATTTCATTGGAAAATTTTATCTGTTCTTACACGAAAGTAAATAAGAGGACAACACAAGCTGTCACCAATATCATAATAGCTGTATATATTGCGATCTAAGAATAAAATTACTCACTCATCAATCCATTTGCATCTTACCCAAATGTTGTCAGGAAAAGGGATTCGCTGTAAACTCTCGGTGGTATACTCGGAATTCCCATACGATGCATAAAACCGTTTCATTTTCCAATGACCTGAAATTTACGAAGAAAATGATAAAAGACAACGGCGCAGAAGTAACTTAATCACCTCAGAATATACATGATGAAAATGGACACAAAGATTAGACTTTCCAAATATGTCAAACGAAAATATGGTGTGGATATGACTGTCAGATTATCTGAACATAA